GTAAATGAGACTTCTACATTTGATCAAAACAAAGTAAAAAATTTAGAAATCTGACATAAATTATTGCATACTTTTATATAAAAAGATATATTAATAAATGCAATTTTCAAGTGTATAAAATAAATTAAAAAGCTTAAAGAAAACTAAAACACAAATTTATTTTGTGTTTCCTGATAGCATTATACTTTAATAAAAGGAAGGTACTTTAAGGTGATATCAGAACATAATAATCCACTGTACCTGAAAGATCTCTATTTCTTCTTGAACTTCCTTAAGACCAGAATCAATTACTTTAAGCTTTTTACTGAGCATTTCGTATTCTTTTTTCAGCAATTCTAATGATTTTTTTTCTCCTAAAAGTGTTTCTTCAATGTTTAATTTACTTTCCCGTAAATTACACACTGCATCAAAATCATGTTGCTCGCAGCCTTCAGGACATATACTGTCATCCAAAACTGTCATTTCATTATTTTCTTTGGAATCATCCTCTTTGTAGCTATCATCATCCATATCAGAGGACCAACTGGAATCACTACTCTCACTCTCAGATTCTGACTCTATAAATAAAAAAGCATTTCAATTAATTGTTCAGGTATATGTTAGGATGCCTAATATACACTTTCAAGCCATGTAATATTAGTTTTAGCTCAAAGTCCTATGTATGTTTTAGCTGATATGTGATAATAAAATCGAAATAAGTCTAATATTATTATAATTATTTCATCCTTAGCTGTCTCATGTAGGTTTTCAGTAAAAGTATATACTATATCTTCATTTTCAAATACATTTTGTCTACAAAAGCCCAATGCTGACGATGCCTTTTGCTCAACATCACAGCTCATTGTGACCTCACTTACAATTTAAGCCTTATTATTATTTTGTTTCACTTCAAAGTTGAACAATGAAATAAACATCACCTTGAAACCTTCTCAACAAACTACTGGCTTATGAAGATAGCAACAAGCTCCCCTTTCAAAAATCATAGCACCAGAAAGGAAAAACCCATGGAGCATAATACCCACTGGGGAGGGGCCAGCCTAGTGTAGCATCACTCAGTGAGAAACTACATCCTTCTCATGCAGGGAATACTCTTCACCCAATAAAGGTGACAGAATTACTTTCTGTGAGCTGGTAAAGTGCTGCATAGGTGGGTGAAATGTAAGATTGCTCAATTGGCCATTATCTCTACGATAGTTGGCTGGGCATGAGTGTGTAAAAGTAGCTAGAGCAATAAGTTAGGCTGTATCATATTGAGAAAATACTTAAATGAGATATTCACTAGAAGAATCAGGTGCTGGGAGGAAATATCCCATTATCTTAGATACAACTATACAACTGACCTATCTGCCTTGAAAAAAGTAACATCTGACAAAAAGTCATTATTCAAAGAATCAATAACCAGATAACAAACGACAGAGTTCAAGCTGTGCCAGTTGCTTTTCCCAGGGGTTGAGCATAATGGTTTATATACTGTACATGTAGTCAGATAAAGTAGCAAGTTGGTACACTGTATAATAAGTTATGATGAATAACAGCTCAATAAAGATAACTTAAAATTGCTTTTTGTTTGTTTTATGTAAAATAATTTATTCATCAATCACATTTATTTCATAAACATCTAAGTATCCCATTTTTATTACATACATATAAAATATTACAAACTGAAACAAAATTTATTTAATAAAAAATCGTCCATTTTTGTTTGTTTTGCATGGAGTCATATTGAATGTTCACGAGTCTAGCAGTTATTATATCAAGAAGTATTTCATTGTTAGTTTTCAGTGCACGATTTTAGTATCAATTTATAAAATAATGTGTCAATAAATGTCCAGAATTCTACATCAGAGAAACTGGAAGAAAATTGGAAACTGAACATAATAAAAAAAATCCCATACTTGTATTTACCACCATTGCAACTCAAAACATCCACAGTATATTTATACAAAATGCTGTAATTTTAAACAAAAAAACAAATATTGTATCTTAATTTTGATCAGAGACTGCTTCACAGCTTAGTATATATCTTGGTACCCCAGTGTGTTCAAGTTAAACCCCTTGGTACATACATGTAGGTATTTTGGTTAAAAAACTTTCAGGTCCTGAAAGGTAACCAGGGGTGGTCAGAAACTATTGTTTGTTTTCATCCCACTCGTGGAAATAAGGTTTATTCTTTTAGTGAATGTAGTAGATTTTGAGCTAATGACCTAGATGTTAAGTGACTTGATTAGTACTTACTAGCAGGGTGTGAAGCTTATTAACTTGCTGGTTGTTGAGTGATAGACTCAACTAATCTTTGCAATAAGCATGGCTAGTGAAAGGTCTCAAGGAATCTGGGAAAGCTGCGAATGTCTCAAGCTAAGAACAGGAAGTCGCTGTAAAAAACAAGGTTTGAAGTGTTGATATAGAAACATGACGTGGATGTTGATATTGACCAAAGTTATGATTAAAGCACCAAAATAAACGAAACAAGGAAATTGGAGAATTTTTAATCAACTTGAAATTGTTTTAATGCAGCATATTACCTTTTATGTAATATTTGTATTCAGAGAGGATTACCTTATTAGGTATTGGCTAGAGTCTAGCAATAATGTAGTTCAAATATTTATTCTAATTTCTGCTGGTTCTTTTACATTCATGGAATGGCCCCTTTTCAGAGCTGGAATCAAAGGATCCAAGTTTCAAGGTGAATATTTGGTTTAGGATAGGGCTGTTTTGTTCTGTGACCTGTTTATTCCATACTGTATACAATGTATTCACGTGTCCCTGTAAATTACATTATTGATATAAAGAAAAGTCATTATAGAGAGGTTATTATTTTGACCTTCCGGCCAAAAATCAGATCAATGTAAAATCATTCTGTGCACAGAAAAAAGTCGTATTTAAAAGGAAGTCTTTATTGGGAGGGGTCGTATCCACCAGGGTCTACTGTAGAAGCAAAAGCAGATGTGTAAGTACCATTGGTGAAACTTGTCCAAAGATTGGGTAGGTTCAGCTGGAGATTGGGAATCCTGGAACTAAGACCAGAGTGGAACAATCTACCTGGTGCACAGTGGTACTAATATTACTGACTATCAGGGTGCCTCAACTTGTCATTATAGTATCGGATGACTCCTGTTGAAGAATGTCAGAATGTGGAAAGATGAATTGGTAATCTAGATGATTCATGACACCAATATTAAATATGCAAATACATATAATTTGGCTTGGTGTGTATTAATGGTGCACAGGCCTGGTGACAACATTAAAGGGGACCTAAAAAAATCTGTGTGCTAGGTTAAATCACTGGGAAATAGTACTGTCAATGAAATCTTATAACAAACGATGGGACATGTGTTCAAAATACAAATTTGATTCAAAAAAAAAAACCAAAGCGAAGATAATTCAAACTAAGGTTCTAATCTAAATGAAATGTTTAAAATTTGATATCTTTCTTTCTAATAATCAAGAAAATTATGGAAGGAAAGGCTACACTATGAATGATAATGAACGTTTAAAAACATTAATGTAAAAATGCCAATAATTCCTTAGAAAAAAAACATGTCTGAACAAAGCAGTGTCAAGGAAAAAATAAGCCTTTCTTCCAATGCTAGTGTTTAAAGAGAGTACTGCACATGGAAGATGTGTCACCTTCCTATTGGTGGAGATTATGGTCTAATGATGATTACATCAGAGGCTGGTGCAGTATATGTTAATAAATGTAGGAGTGGGAGCCACATTCAAGGCTTGTGGCATGTCCAAAGATTTTTATGGCAGTGGCTCAAGGTAATATGTCTTTGTTGTGCAGAGAGATGAGTATACATTTCTGAAAGGATTAAGCATCCTTGGTGAAAAGCATATAATTCAAGAACATGCTGCTCAAGCACAAGCAATATTTAAAGCTTGAAATGAAGGATGTCACAAAAATGTCTATTATTAGGCAATTTAAAAGTCCACAATTTCAATGGTTGAAGATGAAGAGATAACTCAATTTGGTAAATCTGATTAGGTCATAATGAGGCAAGTGACCTACTGCTACCTATATGATTCTAGAAGCATCCACATGCTTCAAGCGTAGTGAGTAAATTTCTGAACTAAAAAGAGAACATAAACATCAATGGAATAGTGAATGCTGGTAGAATAATCAGATTGAATCAACATTAATTGTATATGAGGGAACACGCCCTAGAAAAGGTCAAATTCTTAAAACTACTATTTGCACAAATGACTATTTCAGAGGATGAATATCTGAGGCACAATAAATACATGTGGCTCATGCCAAAAGGTAGGTAATTATAAATAAACTAAGGCATAAATAAAAAATATGATTTAAAACTGGTTCACTCACCAATGAGACAAATGTAGAAAATCAAGAAGATGATAGACCAAACAGTCAAGTGGAACAAACATTTGAGTGTAACCTTATAATGTGTAAGGAAGAGGTCAAAGACCAGACTGATAGCAAATGAGAACAAGCCATTCTGACGAAGCCACAGGTCTTCAAAATGAAAGAATCTGGCACCTAGTAAATGCCCCTGAGAACAAAAGTGGTGCAATAGACATACCTTTTCAAAAGTGCAAAACTATTAGAAAGCATCTTAACATACTATACGAAAATGTTTCCAAACATCTCAAGGTAAATTAAGAATTTAGAGGTATGATTTTGAGATACGTGATGATCCAGTTCATCTGATATACAAAAGTTCAAATTGTTTGAATGATTTTAAGATTAAAATTGGCCCAAAAAGTGTGAAGCAAAATATATACACACTCACACATACATATACATTTTAAATTAGCTTAAAATGAACCAAACCAAGTTGTAGCTCATATCTAACTGTTTATGTGATGTCAGTCTGCGTGTTTGGTTCTTTGTGTTTACCTCACACTGTTGTTTGTATTTATTTTTGTGCATGACTGCATCAACTTTTCCAACATACTTTGAATTATTTCAAGCAATAACAGAAACATTGTCCTCACAGTTTTTTGAAAGGTTAGAGTTGCTTTATGAGATATTAATATGTATTTTATACAAGCAGGTAGTATTTGGATATGTATTTTAGGTGTAAAATCTGCTTCAAAAACGTATAGTTGTGCATAAATGCAAGGCCTACAAATAAGCATACAAATTATATAAATAACAAATAATTTTGTGAATTTTGAAAGAACTATATATGAACACTTGAATTGATTTTGTTCACTTTAACATTTTAAATCCCTCTTAGTATTGTTAAGGCATGTCCAATCACACTCATATAAATACAGTGTGTACTTCTACTGTGTTCTTCTCTGTAACGTACTATTTAAATTGCAAATGTGACAACACTACACATTTAGCTCTCGAGATGGGTAAAATCCTAAATTTTGTATAAAAATCAAGTGTTTTAATCTGGAATTTGTGATAATAACTTTGATAATGATCTTTAGCTTCCAGTTTGCACTCAAAAATCTTAATTCAAATAAATTCATATAGTAAAAAGAATAGTCCCATTGGTTAGTAAATTTCTTCAGTATTCTATATACAAATATATAAATCCTGGAACAGTGCCAGATTAAGGCTTGGGGGGTACCTGGGGCATTT